ATTATGCAATATTTGAGTGGCACGTTAGTTCCTAGTCCCCGGGAGTGACTATCAGAGAGATCGAAGATCCCCCTTGTTGCCTCACAGCTATCCTGGTTGAGGTCGACCCTTCTAAACTTCTTCCTGATTGAAAAGCTTTAAAAAATACCTTTTTTTAAAAAAAGGCCTTTAAACCCTTGCAACTCTCTTTCTTCCTAGCCAAAGTTTGGGGCCACCTGAGGGTGCATCCTTGCTTGTTGTGGGATCCTGATTCCCACATGGGGCTTTCCCATGGTGTGAAGTCTTTGGCTTTGGTCTTCCTGTGAGACCTGCAGCTTTTGCAAACTTTATGTATGCTTCAGGATAGGGGAAGCCAGACAGTTGGGGCTTGAGCCAGCAATCCAGAAACAAACTGGTTTATGTCAAGCTAGGATTGCAGTAGGAACGACCTGAGGTCCTTCCAGAAGATGCCACATGCGAGGGTGCCCCTCTTAAAAGATTGCCAGTTGCACCCTTTGTCAAGCCTTTATTGCCCCAGGAGTTCGTTTATTTCATTTAATTTCATTTATTATGTAGCCGCCCCTAACTTTGATGTACTCGTCCAATTCCAGCATGATCATATCAGTCATATCAAAATGACTCTCAGGGTGTCTTGTTTATGAATCTTGCAAATAGGAAATATCCCCCAAGCAATTTATGGTAACCGTTAAACAGGCCAGGCTTTCCCATAAAGACCCTCATTGCACAGAAGAGATTCTATTATTATTCCTGTCTTCTAATTGTTATCTTTATGGCCTCAAGCCAACATTTCGCTTATTTAGCAATGAATTTTCTGGAAGCAGATATGGCTCACTTTAAAATATTATTTATTTTTCCTGCACATGCTAACCCCTCTGACAGTACTGTTCTAAAGTCAGAAAGCAACCACAAAATATCGGGTGGGGGGGGGATGCATGTTTCAAACAAGGAAAAAGATAGATGCATGGCAGGATTGAATTGCTGGGGAATGTGTATAAACCATGGTACCTGAATTGGAAAAAATTCCAATTAACTCTGTGGTTGGCTCTAACTCTGAGCCAGGGTCTTTTTATGTTTTCTTCAAAAGATATTTCCTCCTTCTCTTTCAGGTTCACACATTATGGGGGACAATGAGGATCTTGATGCTGCAGGTGCGCCAAATGTCCAGAGCAGCCTTTCAGATTCCTCCGTGGAGAGCAATGCCACGCAAGATGACTACCCGCTTCCCAGCACCGCACGCTCTCCAACCTGCGCCCGCTGCCGTAATCATGGCATCAGGGTGCCATTGAAAGGCCACAAGAACTGTTGCCAATTCATGGACTGCCAGTGTGACAAATGCATCCTTATTCTGTAAGCTAGGAGGGGGAACATGGTGAAAATGAAATGCTGGGCTTTGCTGTTCTTGGGAGGTGCAATGCTGATGGCATCGTCGGATGGGCCTCAGTGGGAAGCGTAAATAAGAACTGAATTGCTCTTTGCAGGGATTTGGTAGCTTGGAGACCCATGTTCAGGAGGATAGTGCCTGCTTTTGTTTCCTAATAACGGCGGCTTCAGGTTGAATTAACAGCTTCTTGGCCAGTAACTTGCTCTGAAAATGAAAAACAGCCTTGGAAGTGTACAGTTTTAATGGGAGAAACATGACTATATGCTAGCATCTTAAAGGCATTTCTTAAAGCCAGGGATACCCACAATATAGCCCTCTAGATTGTGCTAAATTACAAGTACCATTTGCTTTTGCCAAGGGAAGATAGCAATAGCACTTAGATTTATATACCGCTACACGGTGCTCTACAGCACTCCCTGAGCAGTTTACAGAGTCAACCTATTGTTCTCAACAATCTGCCTCCTCATTTTATCATTCTCAGAAGGATGGAAGGCTGATGGGTCAATCTTGAGCCGGTCAGAATCGAACTGTTTACAGTGGGCAGAATTTGCCTGCAATACTGCATTCTAACCACTGTGCCATCATTTGAACAGCATGACATTGCAGGTAGTCCTCGGCTTACAACCACATTTGAGCCCGACATTTCAGTTGCTAAGTGAATTTTGCCCCGTTTTACGACTTTTCTTGCCACAGTTGTTAAGTGAATCATGGCATGGTTGCTAAGGGAATTGGGCTCCTCTGTTGACTTTACTTGTCCGAAGGTTGCAAATGTGACCCCGGGACGCTGCAACCATCATCAATGTTGCCAAGCGTCCAAATTTTGATCACCTGACCATGGGGATGGTTATGTCGGTCATAAATCACTGTTTTCAGGAGCGTCGTAACTTAAAATGAGCTCTCAATGAATGGCTGTAAGTCGAGAACTACTGTATTAATTACCCACCTCTTGCAGAGCCCAAAGCAGATCCATGGAGCTATTCCAGAGTTACAAGCCTCTATATCCCCATTGTGCTAATGAACAGGCGAACATCAGAAGAAAGTGAAATTGAGGAAGTATAGAAATGTACTTAGTACCCAATTTACAACCGATCCTGTTCTCTTAAGCAGTGGAGTTTAAGATAAATCGAGGCAATCAGGTCTCCTCACTTTGTTGGAAGAAATATCCTTCTGGGTTCAGTTCCAAGTGGGGAAAAAGACGCTGGAATCATGGAAGTTGCTTGGAAAGATAATGGCCCATTTTTACAGGTGATGGTGGTGCTGCTGAGTTTCTGCCTCTCTGAGTTTCTGCTTCTCTTTTAGGGGAAATATTCGGCCTTTTTAATATATCCTAAAACATTTTATTTTTTTTCAAGGAGGGGGGTGAGAGTGATAACTTCCTACAGCTTCTCTTGACCAGTTGAACTGCTTGATTTAGCTTGGAGACCACCAGGCCATCGTTGGCAGTCAGTGGGAAGGATTATTAGAATAATCGTGCAAACAATGTTTTGTGGTTGTTTGCCTTTACTTCTGTTATTTGATTATATATATATGTTGGGTCTTCTAGGCAAAGACGCCGGGTCATGGCCGCCCAAGTGGCTCTTCGTAGGCAACAGGAGCTGGAGCTGAAACGACACTTTCCCAGTGGTTTGCTACAACTTCAGGACAGCGAGCCATCAAACTTCCTCCCCTTGGCCAAACCGCTGAAAGTGATTAAACCATGCAGGGGAGGGACAGGTAAAACCATTTGTAGCATCCGATAGAATACCAGACTAAAAAATAAGAAAATAGACTACAGCGGCTTAGGAATGAGTAGATGATCTAGATCGGGGGGGTTGGTCAAACCGAAGGCTCACGGGCCAGATCCAGCCCGTGGGGTGCTTAGATCTGACCGATGGGACAGCCCTGGAAACAGTGAAGGACCACCCACAAGTGGCCCGAGCTCCATTTTTGCTAGTGGGGTTGCAGGAAGCCGTCACAGCTGAAAACGGAGCTCGGGAGCCTGTTTTCACTGGCAGAGCGCACAGGCCACCACAGGCACCCCCGACACGAGTGACGTCAAGCTGACCTTACCCACCTTGACCGTGTCCCCCCCCCCCCCCCCCCCCCCCCCCCCCCCCCCGAGGTTAAACACAACCCGGATGCAGCCCTCAATAAAATTGAGTTTGACACCCCTGGTCTAGATTCTAGAACAAATGATAAAGTTCTAGATTCAAGCATTTTTAAGATATGTGAACTTCAACTCCCAGAATTCCCCTGGGCTTGGGAATTCTGGGAGTTGAAGTCCAGACAAGTCCAGACATCTTAAAGTGGCGGAGACTCAGAAATACTGATGTAGAAGACATGACAAATCCCTGTTGGGGAAACTGGTGTGGTTCAGTCTGGGAATCTTGACCATTGGCCAAACAATGACTCACACTGGAGTCCTTCTCCCCTTTGATTGGATAGACAAGAAGGAAAATGAAGAACCTTTGAACGAGTCAGAAGATGGACTCCGGGGGACTTCAGGACTCCTGCGAAGACAGAGGCGGAGAACTGCAAGGAAGGTAAGAAAATCTGCTGATTTTAACAGCAGATTCCACGTAGCACCTCACCTATCATACTTCCCTAAAAACAAGATTCCTTTAAAAAGTTTAATCCGTGACAAAGAAAATAAAAATAAGGAACACTATTTATCTCATTCTATTACCAGTATAGTACAGGTAGTCCTCGACTGACAACAGTTCATTTAGTAACTGTTTGAAGTTACGACGGCACTGAAAAAAGTGACTTATGACCGTTTTTCACACTTACGACTGTTGCAGCAACCCTGTAGTCACATGAACAAAATTCAGACACTTGACAACCGGCTCTTATTTATGATGCTTGCAGTGTCCAGGGGTCCCGTGATCCCTTTTTGCGACTTTCTGACAAGCAAAGTCATTGAGGAAGCCAGATTCACTTAACAACCGTGTACTCACTTAACAACTGCAGTGATTCACTTAACAACAGTGGCAAGAAAATGAGGCAAAGTGCATTTGACACATGACTCGCTTAATAACAGAAATGGTGGGCTCAATTGTGGTCGTGAGTTGAGAACTACCCGTACCTTTTTTATGCGGGAAATCTGAATATCAGTAGGGAAAAACATTTACCTCTCAGTATTTTATCCGCAATCACCATGCGGCCCCTAATCCAGACAGACTGAATCGAGATTTCCTAATTGACAATGCTGTGTGTCAGTACCTCTGTAATGAACAGCCTACATACAATTCGGATTTTCTAAGGACAACTATATCATATTTCGTGGCCCTAAGCAAGCCTTCCTAAAATTCCAAAAAAACCCCATAGAGTTATTTTTTTAAAATTACATTATTTCATGCAAATAAATCTTTGGTAAGATAGATGCTGGTGGGGGAGGGAGGGAGGGAAGAATTCATTGACATCACAGAATAAGATGCTTAGCAGTGTAGTATTTCCGATCTGTTTCTTATACTAACATGTTACACCTTGTCCTTCAGGAAAATTCCTGGTTACCTCTGTCTCCTTGTTCAAAAGTGACTGAGCTGCCCTGGGCCCTGGGAGGACATCATGCCTCTCCTTCTTGGTTCCCACCTCCCCTTGCGACGCCCTCAAGTGCTTTCTCCCCTTTCCTGCCTCAGGAACATTCCTTTAATCTTCCGTGTACGGAAGGTAGGTAACCTATTGTTTTAGTCGTGAAGCCAGCATGAGCGTCCAACCTTTTGGTTTGCCTGGGCTGCCTGGAGTGAAAAGGAATTATCTTGAGCTGCGTATAAAATATATATATATAATAATGTATCAAATCAACCTTTATCGTCAGAGTACAATATGTGTACAATGAGATTGGCTGAGCTTCCCTTCGTGCACACACACGCTACAACACAACTCACAGTGAAGATAGAAAGTCCCTAACCCAGTGAATCCTACTAACAAACACACAATCTTATTACAGCATGTGAACTTACTGCGCAATGCGCCGGCCCCGCAAGTCTATCATACTATGTTGACCTGAAGTTATTTTCCATTCAGGAGTCTGACAGCCCACGGGTAGAAACTGTTCTTCAGCCTGTTGGTGCGGCTGGCTCTGCTTCTCTAACTCCTACCTGATGGTAGGAGAGGGAAGAAGGGCTGACCAGGGTGTGAGTCGTCCCAGAGGATTCTCCTCACTCTTCTAAAGCGATGTCATCATGTTTTGTGCTGTGCTCACCACCCTCTGTAGTGTCTTTCTATCCATGGCTGTCAAGCCAGCACACCACACTATAATGCAATACGAGAGGACACTTTCTATTGTGGACCGGTAGAAGGAGGTCATCAATCGTTGTTCCACATTGTTCTTTTGCAAGACCCTGAGGAAATGGAGTCTCTGTTGGCCCTTTCTGGCCACCGGGGTTGTGTTGATTTTCCAGGTGAGATCTTCGCTGAGGTAGACTCCCAGGAATTTAAAGGAGGAAACTCTCTCCACACAGCCCCCCCCCTCAATGTAAAGTAGGGCTGGTTCCTATTATGTATATAAATCACATAATAAAAGTTTACAATCTTGTTATACTGTAAGCCTCTCATTGGCCTTCCTACTCAGGCTTGACATAGCCACTTACAACTTTCTTTCTTTTTCCCTGCAGGTTGCCATGGGAATGAAGCTTTATACACACCAGAGAGTTACCTGCCTGCTCCAGGGCAGATGTTTCATCCGGGGCCTGGTGTCCCCTGGTGCCTACCTCCACCTACTGACCTATCAAGGTACACTGGGCTTGTGAAGGAAGGCAAATATACCTGTTCCAGGATAAACGTCTATGGAGATTCGCAGTAATCCAGGTCAGGATTGTCCCAAAGGTGCTTTTTTCAAGAGGCAACTGGACTATCTTTTTTTTCTTTGAAGACGTTTCGCTTCTCATCCGAGAAGCTTCTTCAGCTCTGAGAGACTTTTGACTCAGTCAGAACTGACGAAGCTTCTCGGATGAGAAGCGAAACATTTTCAAAGAAAAAACAGATAGTTCAGTGGCCTCTTGAAAAAAGCACCTTTGGGACAGTCCCGGGATAATGTTGCAGGATCCAATCTGAATCAGTCACCAGGACCAGAAGTTTATTCTTCCAAGCTTTTGGACTTGTGCTGAAACGCATCCTCAGGGAGCTTCCTCTTTCTCCAAAAAGTAGCACCTTTTGTTGAGAGAGAAGTTCCTTGAGGATGGGCTCCGGCACGAGTACAGTGGGCTTCTTCAGCATTTCTGCACAGAGAAAGGTTGTTGCAGAAACTTCAGAGGCAGCAACACCTAGCTTGATAGCAATAGCATGTAGACTTCTATGCTGCTTCACAGTGCTTTACCGCCCCTCTCTAAGCAGTTTACAGAGTCAGCCTCTGGCCCCCAACAATCCGGGCCCTCATTTGACCCACCTCGGAAGGAGGGAAGGCTGAGTCAACCTTGAGCCTGGTGAGATTCGAACTGCCAAATTGCAGGCAGCCGGCAGTCAGCAGAAGTAGCCTGCAGTACTGCACTCAGTACCACCATCTTGCGCCACCATCTTGGGTGATTTCAGAAATGCTAAGCAGAGTCTAATCTGGCTATTACTTGGATGGGAGGAAATCCATCAGGAAATCCCAAGGCTGTGAACAAGATTGGAAAGCTGAAAAGTAAAAATCAGGCTGGATTGACCCCTAAATAAATGAGATAAAAGGTTGGCCCTGACCTTGCAGGCTTCTAGAAAGGCATTTAAGGCCTGGCTTTTTTCCTAGCACTTGGGTCAGGATGAGTAGAGCTCCCAGTTGGAGTTATTTAATCCTGATTGCAATTTAATAGTGTCATTTTATTTATTAGTCGATTGTTTAGTCCTGATTGCCATTTAATTGTTTTAGTTTGCTTTAATGGTGTGTGTTATTTTTCTTCTGTGTTTTAGTTTAATGATTTTTTTTGTATGCCACCCAGAGTCGCGTTTGAGTTGGGCAGCCATGAAAACGTTCTAAATAAATTAACAATAAAACTCAACAGGAGTCAAGATTATCTTGAGGGAGAAATGAACTGAACCGAAATCATTTTGTAGGAATATATTTACAAGAAGCAATTTAAGCTGTGCCAGTTGGATGAATTATGGGAAGTTTTAAATACTCAATTCCTGCGGTTTTGAGAAGGAAGGTTTTTAATGAAAATAATGAAAACCAATCAGATTTATATAAATAAATCCTGGCCGAATTATTTAAAACGATACCCAACCCTGATTCTTCGTTCCATCTGAACCAGATAATATATGGCCTAGAGACAAATAAACACAAAAAACCCGAAACCAAGCTAGGTTTTATTATAGAAATGTGTGAAACAATGTAGAGAAAATTAAAGAAAATGTAAAGAAAATAGTTAGTTAGTTGGAACTAGTTAGTTCTAGTTCGATGGAACTCTTCTATTTTTATTTTTATTTTTATTTATTTGATTTGTCAATTGCTTACAAGTTAATAAGTATAAGTATATACATAGTTATGTATACATGAAATGGGTACATATAAGAAAAATAAAAGAAACAATAGGACAGGAATGGTAGGCACGTTGGTGCGCTTATGCACGCCCCCTGCAGACCTCTTAGGAAAGGGGTGAGGTCAATAGTAGACAATCTAAGGTTAAAGTTTTTAGGGTTTGGGGAAGAAACCACAGAGTCAGGTGGAGTATTCCAGACATTGACCACTCTGTTGCTGAAGTCGTATTTCCTGCAATCAAGTTTGGTGCAGTTAATCTTGAGTTTGTATCTATTGTGTGCTCTTGTGTTGTTATGGTTGAAGCTGAAGTATTCATTGACAGGTAGGACATTGCAATATATGATTTTATATACCATGCTTAGATTAGACCGAAGACTGCGTAATTCAAGGTTTTCTAGGTCTAGAATTCCAAGTCTGGTGGCATAAGGTATTGTACAACGAGTAGAGGAGTGGAGAACTCTTCTTGTGAAATATTTCTGGACTTTCTCAACTGTGCTAATATCAGATATGTAATGTGGGTTCCAGACTGATGAGCTGTATTCGAGTATTGGTCTAGCAAATGTTTTGTATGTTCTAGTTAGTAGTGTGATATTACCAGAGAAAAAGCTACGTAGGATTAGGTTAACAACTCTTAATGCCTTTTTGGCTATGTAGTTACAGTGGGCTCTAGCACTTAGATCATTAGAGATGAGAACTCCAAGGTCCTTTACAGAGCTTGGATCATCGACAAGATCTTGAATATTCAGCTTGTATTTTATTTTCTGATATTTTTTTTTGCCAATATGTAAGACAGAGCATTTATTTGTTGAGATTTGAAGTTGCTATTTGTTTGACCATTCTGATACATAGTCAAGATCTTTTTGAAGGGTAGCAGTATTGTCTGTGGTATTGGACAGCTTTACATCATCAGCGAAAAGAACGCAGTTGCTCTATATATACTCTATAAATACTGGGCATGATCCATTGCTGTTTACAAATACTGAGCCGAAGAATATGTTAAAGATGTTGGCTTTAATGGTGTCGTCCTTGCAGTCTTTACCATTAGGTCCTATCGGGTGGGATGGACCTTGAGTCTTTTAGTTTGTTGTTTACAAAATTGTAAAAAGCGCGGGTGGAATTGGTGCATTTTCCTCTTGTTTAATGTGATAATTGGTGTATTCAGTCTTTATCTGGTGGCATAAATTTTTGTATTGGCTTTTGAAATTGGCAACGTGACCAGATTTGTTTTTTCCGCCAGAGTGATCTCTTTTTGGATTGAAGTTTCCTTATTGTTTTTGTTTTGTTTTGGGAGTTGTTGTTGGTACATATAGTTTGATGACTCTTTTGACTTCAAGTAAAAATATGTTGTAATGGTCTTGAACAGTATTGCATCCAGTGAATAGAGATTGCCAATCAAGGGATGAGAGATTGTTGTCCATAAGATCATAGTTGCCTTTTTTGAAGTTATAATTGGGGATTACGTCATTGTGATGATTTTTGTGTGGGCATATGTTGAGACAAAAGTCAATCATATTGTGATCACTGCTGGAAAAGGGTTCTTTAGTTTGTATTCCGTAAATTAAATTCAAACTATTGCAGAAGATGAGATCGAGGCAGTTGTTTAGTCTAGTGTGGTTGGTTACTAGTTGTTCTAGTCCCAGATTTGTAAGAATATAGTGGCAGCATGCAGTCCAAAGATATAACAGAATGTATTAATTGGATAAACAGAAAACAAAACTGTTGGAATAATGCTTTTTGCAAACAGCGTTTCAGATCTGTCCAGGCCCCCACATCCTGGGAGGAAAAAAATACTTCAGTGAACAGAATAGCCAGCTTAAATTTGGTACCTTGTATTTTCTGATCAAAGTACAGGAGCAGATGTCTATACTGACAAACATTTATTCCACACAGCAAGTTGTGGGTGTATGTGTAAGGAGAATTTGGAAGAATGGCGGCTGAGGTAGTTTCTTTCCTCCTCAACAGTTGGTGTTTTAGCAAGGACAGAAGGCCAGTAGGAGACAAGCTGCCTCTAAAGGATGTCACAAACACTTTCTCACATTCTCTTTTTCCAGCCGCATGGCCCTGAACCCCATCAGTGGCAACATGGATTTGAGCCGACGTTCCAAGGCCCCACCCGTGGGAGGTCAGGTATTTTGTTTTATCTGTGTTCAGCCCATGAACTGGAGTTATTCTATTTCCTCTCCTGAGGGAAGTTGCGATGAAACGGTGAAACAGATGCACGGAATTATTTCATCTGTGGGTCTGATATGGGGGGACAGACCGGGGGGGCGGGGGGGAGTCAAAAATCCCAGCAACCGGGCAGCGAACCGGTTGCTGGGTGGATGTTGCCTGCCAGAACTTCCTGTTTCCAGCTTCCCCTGAGCCTCCGGGAGGGTAAAAACAGCTCTGGAGGCCCTCTGGAAGCCAGAAGCAGGCCTGTTTCCAGACTTCCGGAAGGCCCGTTTTCCCCCCCTCCCAGAGCCTCCGCGTGGACCCTGCACTTACCTCCATCGAAAATCGTGTGGAGACTCAGGGGAGGGGTGGGCGAGGCCAGACGGTCGGTTGAAATACCGGTTTGGTGAACCAGATGTAACTTTAACATCTGGTTCGCCTGAACCAGTCCAAACCGGTAGAATTCCACCCCTGGGACAGACTCATAAACAGACTCATTTGGTTGGGTCTCTCTTAATATCTCCATTTCCAGTTAGTGGCTGATAGGAATGGGATAGAGGTAGTCCTTGATTTACAACTGCTGGGGGGGGGAGGGACTGGCAACCAGTCCCTCCCAGTTATGACCATCTCAGCATCCCATGGTCACATGACCGTGATTCAGGCACATGGCAACCTCCAGGTATTTATGACAGTTGCAGCATCCTTGGGATTGCCTGGGCGTCATTGGTGATATTCCTAGAGGCGCTTTCGACAGGCAACGTCAAAGGGGAAGCTAGATTTATTTAACGACTGCAGCAACGACAAAAAAAAGTTTGTAACATTGGCTGCGACTCACTCAGCAACTGCATTGCTTAACCAGGAAAGTTTAGGTCCCAAATGTGGCTGTGAATCCAGGACTACTACCTTTATTGTCATAAAGGAGTGCAAGACTTCAGTGCTACTTTTGAATAGATAAACATACTGCTTCCCAATAACCCACTGGCTGAGTTCAACCAGCACGCAAAGCTGAGCTAAAATACCCAGGCACTTTGTGGCTTAGGCATTTGCAGGAGGGGCCAATGGCAAAATGTGCATCGCAACATGTGACACGCCTTTAATCATTGTAGCTAGCCACAGGCATCTCTGGTTTGTGGTTTGCCAGGGTTGTGGGAAACTAATCCCATTTTAACCAATCTTGGGAACGGGGCCAATCCATTAAGCCATTCATATGGAATATTTGTTTTGGGCAGGGCCTTTTATATAGGCACAGCAATTAATGTGGTTATAGGGTTAAAGTACATTGCAGGAAGCCAGGCATTCTCTGTGGGGTTGATTTCTGTTTAGCACAGATGTCTTCCTTGCAAGAATCTTATGTCTGCTGACGATGCAATAATGTGCAATAGCTTACAAAATGCATGAATTGAGCAAAATGAATGAAAGAGAATGCCTGCCTAGCCGGGGGATAAAGCAGCCTAAAAGTTACCCATAAAAGGATTAATTAAAGCAAACAGTTTTGCTGTTTGTCACTGGCAGGTGGTCAAATGACTAATTTCTGGGACAGTGTTTTGCACAGTGTACTTACATAAGCAAACGTTATCTTTATTCCACGCGAATTGAACATTCTAAAAAAGAAGAACCCAGGTCCTAAGCCACCCTTGGGCTCAATTGAAACTAAAGCTAGAAAAAGCCCAGGGTCTGGTATATTTTGCCAGAACATCTGGCTCTGTTATCTTAGGATCGGGGTTCCCAAACTTGGCAACTTTAAGACTTGTGGACTTCAACTCCCAGAATTCTCGGAATTGAAGCCCACAAGTCTTAAAGTTGCCAAGTTTGGAGACCTCTGTCTTAGGATAAGACAGGAGAGGATAGATATACCCTGCCCTCGTAGTGTTTCCTCACTTGCTGGAAAAAAAAAATTGGACAGCCACTTACCTGACATGGTATAGGGTCTCTTGCTTGAGTAGAGGGTTGGACTGGAGGACCCCCAAGGCCCCTTCCCAACTCTGTTACCCTGAATGGAAAACATAACTTGGATCCTGTTGACGTCTCTTTGCTGACTATGAGGTTAATTTTGTCTCCTGCTCTCTTTCAGCCCAATTCTTCCGCTCATGTTTCAGTCTGGCCCGCCCGAGGGTTTTTCTTCTCGCCCCTTTCCGAGCAGCAGCTCCAGAAAGAGGCCGCCGAAGCCTTGATGGTGTTAAGAAACGCCCCCCAGGCTAGCCCCATGCTTGCCCCTTCCGGCCTCCTGCCCCCTGCCAACACCATCTCTGCCCTCATGGCCCCCCCGAGTTTCTCCCACCCACTGGAAGCCATTCCCAACCCTGCCATTCCCAGTCCTTTCCAGCCGCATCCCTCGTACTTCCTGCCTCCTTACGTTCCTCAGGACGTCAGGGCCTCTAGGGACATAGCCATGAAGCGAGCCCACGTGCACCCGGAATCAGCCAATGCCCACCCCGAACAGGTTCCGGGACCCTTCTTCGTTCCACTCTTCCATGGTAGCCCTCATCCCCAGCAATACAAAAACATCCGCCTCTTCTCGGTCGCTCCATCTCGGGGGGCTCAGGTAGCGACTTCTCTAATGGTTTCCAGCATCCAGCCCGTCAAACCGAGCCTCGGGGCGGCTTCCAGTTACAGCCACTACCATTTTGCCCCAAACTTGAGAACTTTCCACAGCACCTCGGGCTCCATGCAAAAGACTGTCTGCTTGCCCCAAAGCATGGAGACTGGCTGGATTTCCAAGACCAGCGTTGAAGTCCTTGCTCCCTCTAGCACCGCTCCTGGCAATCCGCCGCTGATGCCTTTCTGTGTCTCGCCCATGGATGTCTCGGTCACCATGCCCTTCCAAGCGGGATCCCCCGTTGGGGTGGATCTGCACATGCTCCCTCCCAGTTTGTCTCTGCTGAACCCCGGCCCCTGCCTTCTGGCTCAGCCCTCTTTCCCAGACCCTGTGCTTCTCCCGGGGCAGATGTCTCCGCAGGGCCAACCCCAGCAGTTCCAAGAAGGAAGAGGTTCCAGCAAAAAGCCCAAAGAAGAAGAGCGCGGCAAGAGCCATAAGGTGCCTGGCGGCAAAGACGAAAAAGGTTAGACTTCTGCAGCTGCTCAGAAGTTCATTATTTTACGTTACTGTCAGGGTTCCGACGGATGCCCTAATTAAATCATGAGCCTTAGGCCAAGCTTCAAAAGAAATCCAATTATTTATTAGGAGCTTCACGTCCGCACGGACCAAGTGCGCACTGACCTCACTTAATTCGCACTTTGGCTTGGACTCTGTTTCCCTCTCTCCCCCAAGATGTGTCATCCGTCACGTTCCCCAACGAAGCAATTTCTCGGGTTGTAGAAGTCACTCCTTCAGGCCACTCTGGGTCTCCGTGGAGATGACCTTGACGTTGCCGCCTGGAATTGACTGAAATACAAGTTCCTCAATGCAGCTGTGAGGTTCAATTTCCCATCCCCTTGCTTATGGCAACTCGAGAGCAGGTCAGGAATGCTTCGCAAGTTGACAGTTATGTTAATGCCGCCCCTACGTGCATTAGGCACGTAAAGCAACTCCCATCACCTCACCAGTTTGGCAGAGGTTGAGATGATGAGAACTGTGGTCCATAATAACCAGAAGTGGATGTTTTGTATGTAGATCTTTGCAGTTTTTCAGAAGGCCTGTGGAGCAAGTAGAGAGATAGACTTATATACCACTTCACAGGGCTTTCCATCCCTCTCTAAGCAGTTTACAGAGTCAGCACATGGCCCCCAACAATCTGCGTCCTCATTTGACCCACCTCAGAATGATGGAAGGCTGAGTCAACCTTGAGCCTGTCAGGATCCAACTCCTGGCTGTGAGCAGAGTTAGCCTGCAATATTGCATTCTAGGCACTGCCCCACCAGGGTTCTTAATTTTAAAAACAACCAGAGCAACTTATGACACTGGTAACTAGTCAAGGCAAAACAATCATTGTCTACACCCAACCCATCATTGATAAGGAACTGCATCTCAAACCAAGGTGCAGATGGTTCCTGCAGTCTGTAATTTTTCTGGAAATCCATTCCTACTCCCGCACTATTCGAAGGGTGTTCCTAACAGCTAGCATTTTGCCCAAATCTGTGTCTGAATGGCTGTCATAAGTTCAGTGGAATTGTGATACTGGAGGCAACAGGAGCTCCATGAAATGTAGTTTCAATGGTCTAACAGGCATCTTCTGTTCTGTTTAGATTCAACCCAAACCGGGCCCTCCTGCCTGACCTCCAAAGAAGCGCCTAGCCGGTCTGCTCAGCAAGTCCCAGAAACCCCCCAGCAGCCAAGCCACCTCCACCAGGCCAACGGCTCCCCTTCGGTGTCTCTGAGCATTGGCCAGATGGGCTCCATCTCCCTTCCCAGTTAGTCTTCTGATTGGGAAGGAAAGGACAAGGCTGACCATGCACCCAACTGCATCTGCAGAGATCTTTGAGAGGAAAGGGGAGATTAAGGTCCCACTCTGGGCCAGGAGCCTTTGAAAAGGAGAGATGGCTTCCATTACTCCAGGTTGCAGCCTTGGCATGGTTTTCATTCTACCTGCAACTGAATTATTGCAATTGCTGGTACCTTTCGTTGGTGTAATGCACCAAGTCCAGATAATTTAACACGGTCGATTCATTTTTAACTAGTTATGTGCCCGACGGAAGGCAGAGTTTGTTTTGACTTGAGCCATTGTTACATTTTAGACAACAGCAAGTTTACTTTTGGTAACCAAGTTTGTTTGCATTCCTTTTTGAAAAGGATATTTTCCCTTGTTTTCTCAAATCATAGAGATACGATTTATAAGCAAAAACAGGTTTAGGACACACTGAGAATTTGATCCACTTACGGGATGTTGCATATTATTGATTCGGGAGATGTGTGTTCAATTCATGATCCAAAAGTTTTCTGCCAATAAAACGTTCATAAGTACTGGAGTTTCCATTGTCTTTTATCAAAAGGTTGTAGTTTTCAAAGATGTTTCTGTCATGTTTTACAAAGAATTCTTTAATCGGGGCTATTTCGATTTTAAACGCAATATCCTTACATTGTCCACTCCAAATATTTTGTTAGGTTTATGTGTAAACTTCAGAATTCCAGGAACTGAGAAATTAAGCATATTGCTTTAATAAATACCTGCAAATACCTTTGAGGATATGAATGATAGCTCTGAACGTATTATTTAAATAATACATGGCACTCTTATAAAACCATTTTACATTCAACCACGTATAACCCTCTCCTGCGCATGAACTCATTTAACCTTTCTATAAATTTCTGGTTTTATTTCCATAATCAGGCTTGCCACACCACGTCTGCTTCTGCAACATATACTGTGCAGCTAACCTGTGATGGATTTCCCCCCTTAGCTAGCAAACGTCACCTTCTCATAGGGCTGTGATCCCAATTTAAGTGAACTGTTATTCCCCCACAAATTGCCTTTTAGTGCTGAGCTAGGGATCGTCCCTTTTGCCTGAAGATTTATAGAAAACTGGGACCCTCATGTGGCTGATGGAGAGACTGCAACGATTACGTACCCTATTAGTTCCTATTTAACTACAACAGATAGCACCTCTGCCTATGGAACAAGGCAAAACTGACTTCATTAAATGATTTGAAAGAGAATGCAGAGATGTAAAGTCTCAAATGCCCATTATAAGATAACCTTTATGGACACTTTCTTCTGTGAACACACCGGCACACATTAAAAACGACTTCTGATACCCCCTCTCGAAAGAAATACAGGCAGTCCTCGACTTGCGACAGATTGCGACTGTTCAAAGCTACAACGGCATTGGAAAAAAAATGAGTTATGGCTGTTTTTGACACTTTACAACTGTTGCAGCCTCTCCATGGTGACGTGATCAAAATCCAGACAGTCGGCAACTGATTTGCGTTTATGATGGTTGCAGTGTCCTGGGGTCACGCGATCCCCTTTTGCGACATTCTGTCAACCAAAGTCAAAGGGTAAACCAGATTCATGTAATAACTGGCAAGAAACGTTGTAAAAGGGGACCAAACTAACAAATGTTGCATTTAGCAACATACATTTTCAGCTCAATCGTGGTCGTAAGCTAAGGACTACCTGTAGGTACCCATCCCCATACACGCGCATACCCATTAATCACAGAATAGAATTCTTTATTGACCAAGTGTGATTGGACACACAAGGAGCTTGTCTTCGATGTATATGCTCTCAGTATACATAAAAGATGTATTCGTCAAGAGTCAAGAATCATCAGGTACAAAACTTAATAATAGTCATAGGGTACAATAAGCAATCAAATCATACTAGGAAACTATGTATTCTACCTACCTAACTAATCTATATCTATCTGTCCATCCTCTATCCGCCCACATACCTACCTATCCATCCATCTAGGTACCTACCTACACACACACACATTCACAGATAGAGTAGAGTTCTTTATTGGCCAAGTGTGATTGGACACTCAAGGAACTTGTCTTTGGCGCAAATGCTCTCAGTATACATAAAAGGAAAGATACATTAATCAAGAGTCCAGAATCAAAAGGTAAACATTTAATAATAATCATAGGCTACAATAAGCAATCAAATAATAAGAGTCTTATCAAGTCTTATCAATAATAAGTCTTAAATACTAAATATATAAAGATGTATTTTTTTCTTATTATATCTACAAAATGATTTTAGGAGAGATTTGGGATGATAATAAGAATTGTCACAAACTAAATTAAAATATGATTATTTTCCAAAGCATGAATGAATAAAAGTACAGTTAAACGATTGTTTAATAATGATACCAATGTATTTAATATTGGATTGAAAATATGAGATCATATACAATATAATTGTAATTGAAGACTACCAAATGGAAGCACAAAACAATTTGTAAACCAACCGACACACTGTATGTACATATATGGAAGATGGCCTGATGTTTTTATGTTTTGTTTTTTTATGTTTGTTTTAAAAACCAATAAAAATTTTTAAAAATAATAAGTCTTATCAAGCAGGAAAACAAACCTTATCCAGCTATCAGCTTTTGTCTACTTTATTAAGGCACACAGAAACTCCTGTGAACCCCGAAATTACGAGGATGCCGGGACATGTAGTTTAATAACAAATGGGAAGGCACCAGGTTCGGGAAAGCAAGTAAATAGATGTCAGCCGACTCGACCATAAATCTGACGGAATCTAATTCGCCTCCCCCCCACAAACTTGTCTGCTTTAGACTTGTGGACTTCCACTCCCAGAATTCCTCCTTCAGTCATGTTAGCTCAGGGAATTCTGGGAGTTGAAGTCCACAAGTCTTAAAGTTGCCAAGTTTGGAGACCTCTGCTCTAACTTAAATGCCCAGATGGCTAGAAAGGACTGCAGAGCGCAGGATCCACCAGGGAGGCTCTCAAACAGCCACGTCGACGGAGCCAAGAGGCGAAAGAGGAATGGGACCAGAGTAGGCGATACCATTTGCTTCACCAGGAGGGTTTGAGAGAAACAAAACGAGCCTCCTCCTCCTCCTCCTTCTCTTCCCCCCAGTTTGCCAGCTCAGGTGGTTCCGTCCAGGTGGCAGGCAGGAAACCGCTTCCAAAGCGGAGCTGAAACCCGGCGAGCCGAGCAGTTTCTCCGGGGAGCGAGTGGATTATTATTATTATTTTTCCCTGATCTACACCGTAAGTAGTTCCCCCCCCTTTTTTTTTCGAATGGTGCCGGCTATTTGCAGCTGGCAGAGCTTGCAGGGAGGAGGAAATGGATGAAGCCAATTTTATTTCCTTTCCGAAAAGGATTACTAATCCGTTAGAAGTCTTTCAAAAGGAGAATTGAACCTCGGACATATATCAAGAACTCTATGTGATGTGGGAGGTGTTTCATCCTCCTCGCCTCCCTCCACCCCTTTCTATGCATGGATGCAGTGATCCACTACTGTACGGGGTTGATGGCATCGGTGCAAATGATGGGTGCAAGGCTTGTAGTATCAAAAACACTGCAGAGAAATTTCGTCTTTTGACGGGGTGGAAATAGGAATGGCTGACAGTTACCTCTCTAGCGCTATTCGCGCCGGGAAAAAAACAACAAAAAAGGACAGCCCTATAGGGATTGCAACAGAATAGGTTTACGTTTCCTCCTTTTTTTTTGAGGAATGGTACCGCCCAAGCTTTGTAAGGTGGAGGGGGGGCGGGATGAATGGGCGAAACCACTGGCGAGGGGGGAGAACAGTGACTGGCACCGCCTATCTGTATTGTTCCTGGACGACGTTCCTGGGCTGCACGCAGGTCCTTGGATGAGGAGCAATCGGGGTCTATTGTGGGATGTGCTGTGGAGGTGCGGGGTGGGCAGGAATCGAGTCCCTTATTCTCTGCTTTGTCTCCTTAGGATCTGCAAGGGACCATGAGTGATGGTGACAAGAACCCCGCCAGCACTCCAACCCCGGTCATCGACGTCCAAGGGGATGGGCGATGGATGTCGTTGGTGAGCTGCCTGCTGAAAAGAGGGTCTTGGGATGGAGGGGAGAACACACACACACCCCGTCTCTGGAACTGCACGGCCGCTCCGATCCTCTTATATTCTTGTTAAATAACAGAATTGGGAGGGACCTTAGACACGATGTAAAAAGATGTTGAGACTCTAGAAAGAGTGCAGAGAAGAGCAACAAAGTAGATTAGGGGACTGAAGGCTAAAACATATATAAAGAATAGTTGCAGGAACTGGGTGTGTCTAGTTTAATGAAAAGAAGGACTAGGGGAGACATGATAGCAGGGTTCCAATATCTCAGGGGCTGCCCCAAAGAAGAGGGAGTCAAGCTAATCTCCAAAGCACTTGAGAGCAGGACAAGAAGCAACGGATGGAAACTCACCAAGGAGAGAAGCAACTTAGAACTAAGGAGGAATTTCCTGACAGAGCAATTAACCAATGGAACTGTTTGCCTCCGGAAGTTGTAAATGCTCCAACACTAGAAATTTTAAAGAAGAGATTGGATAACTTTTTGTCTGAAGTGGTGTAGGGTAGGGGTCGCCAACCTTTTGGACCTCGGGGACCACCAAACTCATAATTTTAAATCCCGCGGAGCACTAATATGAATTTTGACTGATGGTGGCTTGCTGACATTGGTGGGAAAGACAGTCCTGTATTCCAGAGCTGTTGGACTGTCCCTTTGGTCATCCCAGAGCAGCTGCTCCTCCACCCGGGTGCACCGGCCTGCCATAGACTGAAGGAGCTGCTCCAGGATGATGGAGGCCCAGTCCTGTGACTCCTGCAGCTCTGGAATATGGGACCGACTTTCCCACCAACGTCAGGAAGCCACCCCGGGGCGGATTTCTCTCCCCCACTGTTGGTCTTACCTTCCAATTTCAGCTTGTGAGGCTGTACTCACGGTAAGGTTTGCACTTGGCCGAAGGGTGGAGGCCAGTGGGTGGCACAGCTTTGTGTTCCTGTAGATTAATTGCTTTGGGTGGAACATTTCTCTGCAGACCATCAAAATTTTCTCATGGTCCACCAATAGTCCCTGGACCACCAGTTGGTGACCACTAGTGTCGGGTTTCCTGCCTAAGCAGGGGGTTGGACTAGAAGACCTCCAAGGTCCCTTCCAATTCTATTCTATTCTATTCTATTCTATTCTATTCTATTCTATTCTATTCTATTCTATTCTATTCTATTCTATTCTCTATTCTATTTTCTATTCTAATTCTATTCCTATTCTATTCTATTCTATTCTATTCTATTCTATTCCAACCCTCTCCTCAAGCAGGGAACCCTATACCATTTCAGACAAGTGCCATCCAATTTCTTCATAAAAACCTCCAATGATGGAGCACCCTTCTGAGAGGGAAGTCATTCCGCCGATGGTTTCACTTGGGGTTTACTCTCCCATGCTGGCTGGGGAATTCTGGGAGTTGAAGTCTACAAGTCTGAAGGTTGCCAGGATTGGAGACTCCTGACTTAAAGAGCCAAAATATTGGTGGCAATTTTGAGTTGACTCGGCTATAGTCCAATTCACTAATTTCCAGCCAAATGGGAATCTATCAATATATGTGTCGAAATCTTGGAGTTAACAATCCACCGAAGTTTGCTTTGGATCCCAATTCCTGGGCTGTTCCTCTGCTGTTCCCCTCTCCTTCCCGAGACGTACCTTCTCGTCCAGTCATTCCACTAAAAGAACTCTCCAATTTTCTCGCTTTCTGCAGCACCACCGTTTCATTGCCGACAGCAAAGACAAGGAACCTGAAGTCGTCTTTATTGGGGACTCCCTGGTGCAGCTGCTGCACCAGTTTGAGGTAAAGAGGCCCTGGTGTTGTAATGACAAGGCAGTCGAGTTGTTTGATCGTGAACAACTGAATCATGATGATCTTTATTGGAGTCTAGTCTTGCATTTATGCACATTTTTAGTTATCCTCCATCACTGGTTAACTTTGATTACTGCTTAACTTTCATTACTGTTTAGCACAGTCATCCATACAATTAATTATCTCTAGTTAAAGTCTAACATATGTTCACTTCCTCTCTCTAATCCTCCTTTAGATTAGTGACTTTGTTTACCTGAGTTGTATTTGCTTGGAAACATTCTTTATCTGAGGTTTGCCATCCGAGATTGGAACATTCCTGCAATTACAACTCTACACTCTGGAAAAAAATCATCAAATGGATCCGTTGGTTTTATCATCTGCTCATTCGCCTTTCTTTCTCTTCTCCAGATTTGGAGGGAGCTTTTCTCCCCGCTGCATGCCCTCAACTTTGGCATCGGGGGCGATGCCACGCAGCACGTGCTCTGGCGCCTGCAGAATGGAGAACTGCAACACATCCGTCCAAAGGTAACAAGATGGTGGCTCCTGAAGTAGGCCTCAAGCCCAGGATCATCACCCTAGAGTTCTGAAAAATGTTGCTCAGGCTTGCTCTCTCTCTCTATTTATTATATCCCACCTTTATTATTTTTACTCAAGGTGGTGAACATATGCAACACACCTTCCTCTCCCTGTTTTCCCATCAACAATCCTGCAAGGTGGGTTGGGCTGAGAGTGATTGGCCCAAAGTCCCCCTGTGGGCTTTCATGTCTAAGATGAAACTCACCATCTCCTGGTGATTGACCCCAAATCAGCCAGCCAGCTTTCATGGTGTAAGTGGAACTAGAACTCACCAACTCCTGGTGATTGGGTCAAAATCACCCAGCTAGCTTTCATGGCTAAGGCACAACTAGAACTCACTGTCTCCCATTTTCTAGCCTGGTGCCTTAACCACTAGACTAGACCAAACTGGCTCTCATATATATATATGGGGAAATGGGAATTAAATGGAAATTAAAGAGAAGGGCAAGCTAAGGAACTTGTGAGTGTATGCAATCTGAAAGATATACCCACTTAAGTTTCTCCCACCCATCGCCGTCCTCCTTTTAATTCTTTTTCTGCTTAATAATTAGGGAGAAAAACCAGCCTGAGATTATCTGGTATTCATTGCACATTTAAAGACTTGAAATGTATTTCTTAAAAACATTTAGTTGTAAAATGCTACACAGTACCTCTACGGCAGTGCTTCTCTATGGCTGGCTGCGGAATTCTGGGAGTTGAAGTCCATACATCTTAAAAGTTGCCAAGGTTGGGAAACACTGCTCTATTGGTTGTGGACAGATTCCTCAAAATATACAAACCCAGGTCAGCCTTCAACCTAGGGTTGCTGAGGCTGCAACAGAAGTTTTTCTTTACTTTTCAGACTCTGTAGTTTGTCCATCTAAAGATCCAGAATGTCCACTTTTATAGCATCAGGTTTTTACCTGCGCACAAGAGGGTGTTGTGTTCCAATAGCCAGATTTCCTGACATGGTGTTAGATGGGTAGCTGTGCGTAAGCACCAATGTCATTAATTACTTCCTTTCACCCAAGCAAACGAATCAATTATTGTTTTCCACCTTCCATTGGTTCTAGATCGTGGTACTCTGGGTAGGCACCAATAACCACGGACACACTGCGGAACAGGTGGCTGCTGGTATAGAATCCATTGTGCGTGTCATCAATCAACAACAACCCCAAGCCCGTGTGGTTGTGTTGGTGAGTTCCAAGCCTGACTCCATCTGATAAAAATGCCTTTAAAAAATGCCATCCTCTTGACCGGGTTGGGTCCCCTGGTGCCCCATAACATTAACCAGAATCATATTGGCCAAAAAAACCTAGAATAGTGTGGCTTGCAATAGATGGCTATCTTCATATTTATGAAACTTATGGCTGTAATTGAGCCTGGTATTCTGGTTTGAAGCCATGGCCGCCATTAAGTGGGTCACCATGCCAGAGTTTATGACTTTTGCAATGGTCATAAAATAAACACCACAGTCTTTAAGCTATTTTCTTCCATGAGTGCAAATATTTTTTGATGGAAACTGGAATTAAATGCTAGAAACTGGCAAAAAATTTTGCCAAAAATTGCAGTCACATGACCATGGGTGCTGCAAATGGAAGCCAGTTGCCAAAGTGCCCAAATTTTGATCACATGACGCTATAGTGTGTGTTCATCAGAACTGCAAAATCAGTTTTTTAAAATAGTCCTGAGGAGATGTGTCGGAACTTCTAACGGTCATTAAGTGAAGACTATGTGTACTAAAGGGGGATGCGGCGGCTCAGTGGCCAAGACACTGAGCTTGTCGATCAGAAAGGTCGGCATTTTGGCGGTTCAAATCCCTAGCGCCGCGTAACGGAGTGAGTTCCCGTTACTGGTCTCAGCTTCTGCCAACCTAGCAGTTCAAAAGCATGTAAAAATGCAAGTAGAAAAATAGGGACCACTTTGGTGGGAAGGCAACAGCGTTCCGGGCACCTTCGAAGGCGTTTAGTCACGCCGGCCACATGACCACGGAGACGTCTTTGGACAGCGCTGGCTCTTTGGCTTTGTAACGGAGATGAGCACCAACCCCAAGAGCCAGAAAATGTCTAGCAAGTATGTGCAGGGAGAACCTTTATCTACTACTGTACAGTAGTCCTCAATTTACAACAATTCATTTAGTGCAAGGGGAACCTTTACCTTTATGTGTACTAAACAAAGACTGGTGTCCCAGGTCATTGAGTCCAGCTGGTGGCTCGTTCACACATCTGCATCAACTTAGAAACAAACCCCTTTGGGACTTAAGATTGTGGTCTTTTCTGTATCCTGCCCAGGGTTTGCTGCCAAGGGGCAAAAACCCCAACCCGTTACGAGAGAAGAACAGGAGAGTGAACGAACTGCTGGAGAGTAAGGTGCCGCTTCTCCCCAATTCCTCCTTCCTCAATGTCGACCCGGGCTTTGTGCATTCAGACGGGACTATAAGCCACCATGACATGTATGACTACCTGCACCTCACCCGCAACGGGTATGCCAGAGTCTGCCCTGGACTGCACCGCTTGCTGCTCTGCCTGCTGGGAGAATGCCATGCTCAAACACCTTGATGGAAGCCATCACACACCCGAGATGCTCGTCGTTGGCTGAGTGACTGCCGGAGGCTTAGAAACTTAGATTGCCGTTGACTCCAGATGGGCTGTTCTCAACCATGACAACTGTAAGGTAAGTGGACTTCAATTCCCAGAATTCCCCGGTCAGCTGTGCTGGCTGGGAAATTCTGGGAGTTGAAGTCCACCTGTCTTAAAACTTGCCAAGGTTGAAGCAGCCTGCTCCAGAGTGCCAAGTTTCCCACCCATCCCTGGCATTTGAAACTGGGTACTCCTTATACTAACTCCGTAAGCCTCCGTGTGGGTTGTTTTCTATTGGCATTGTGCCCTGCAGCTGCCGAGAAAAAAATTGGCACAAGACAAAGTGAATGGGAACCTGCTGTTTTTATGTAATAAAACTAACTTGGAAGTTTCTGGGCAGACGTTTGTTTCTTTACCTATTAAGTTTCAGACAGGTAACAGATGCCCGAATGGGGTGAGTTGCTAGTCACCTGGCTTAAAGGGGAAAAAAAATGTTTTCCCAGAAGCAATTAGAAACCATTTGCATACAGTCTTTGCATTGTGGAGAAATCTATTCCTGCTCTCCGCAAGTCTTCCTGGATTCCGTACATTTTATCTTCTTGAAGTGAAAAAGCAAGGCTGCTTACGGTTTTTTCTTTTTTTGCCAGCTTTTTTATAGCAAGGGGTCTTCCAAGTTGACAGCTTTAAGACTTGTGGACTTCAACTCCCAGAATTCCT